AATGTGTCTGAGTGTATAACAGAGCTCCACAGCAATAATACTCCCAGTAATGTGTCTGAGTGTATAACAGAGCTCCACAGCAATAATACTCCCAGTAATGTGTCTGAGTGTATAACAGAGCTCCACAGCAATAATACTCCCAGTAATGTGTCTGAGTGTATAACAGAGCTCCACAGCAATAATACTCCCAGTAATGTGTCTGAGTGTATAACAGAGCTGCACAGCAATAATACTCCCAGTAATGTGTCTGAGTGTATAACAGAGCTCCACAGCAATAATACTCCCAGTAATGTGTCTGAGTGTATAACAGAGCTCCACAGCAATAATACTCCCAGTAATGTGTCTGAGTGTATAACAGAGCTCCACAGCAATAATACTCCCAGTAATGTGTCTGAGTGTATAACAGAGCTCCACAGCAATAATACTCCCAGTAATGTGTCTGAGTGTATAACAGAGCTCCACAGCAATAATACTCCCAGTAATGTGTCTGAGTGTATAACAGAGCTCCACAGCAATAATACTCCCAGTAATGTGTCTGAGTGTATAACAGAGCTCCACAGCAATAATACTCCCAGTAATGTGTCTGAGTGCATAACAGAGCCCCACAGCAATAATACTCCCAGCAATGTGTCTGAGTGTATAACAGAGATCCACAGCAATAATACTCCCAGTAATGTGTCTGAGTGTATAACAGAGCTCCACCAGCAATAATACTCCCAGTAATGTGTCTGAGCATATAACAGAGCTCCACAGCAATAATACTCCCAGTAATGTGTCTGAGTGTATAACATAGCTCCACAGCAATAATACTCCCAGTAATGTGTCTGAGTGTATAACAGAGCTCCACAGCAATAATACTCCCAGTAATGTGTCTGAGTGCATAACAGAGCTCCACAGTAATAATACTCCCAGTAATGTGTCTAAACTACAATAAATGTGTTTCTGAAGTCAGTCTGTGGAAATAAGATACATTGTTCTTGTTCTAAATTACAATTTAGTTCCCTAAATTGTTATTAGTAAGTCACCTGAAATTTCTCATGACAGCCCCGCCCATGGCCACACCCCCACTCACACCCCTAAAATTAAAGTGTCCCTCTTTGTCCATTTGAAATGTTAATTGGTGTGTTTGGTGAAATTAACTCCGCAGTGCAGAAAATAGGACATAAATGAATGGATTAAAAGCTGAAGCGCCTGCCAGTGAAAGGGTTACATTTAAAACCCACCTATGTTACAGGTTAACGTTAACCTACCAATCCATCTGCTTTCATGTCCAAAGCACCTTGAAATAGAGTTTTAAACAGAGGAGCAATATTCTTGTTCTAGTTAATTAAGCAGTGCAAATTAACAACCCCACTCAGCAGTAAAGCCTTCCAGGCCTCTTCTACGCGGTTGTGCTGAATACCATGTAGGCCGTATCATTTAAATCGAGCTCAACCTCCTTAAAATATCTTTTTATTGGATGTCTCTTGCTTAAACGGTCCTTAACAATATAACTCATTCCGTACTACAGTCCTAAATAACTACACCAATTAGCAAACACACTGGGCCATGTGGGAGGTCAATGTATCCTTCAGGCACCTAAATCATTGCAAACAGAATAGATTGCTCTACTAAATTACCTGCTCCAGAGAGTATGGGGGTAACGCTTTGTACGCCAGCTGAGTAACGCTCATTATGGCCTCGATTTAATAGGATTTAAAAATGATTCAAATAATATTATCACATATAAAAATATATACATCAATATATCAAACTATAACATGTGTTTCATTATATCAAATCATTTTCAGTTTTAATTTTATTCAGAAATATGTCATCATTTGAAAAGGTTTATCCAACAATAATAAACCGAGGTCATGTAAGCAATACTTTTCACAGAGAAAAGGTATAATTACAATTAATAATATAAATATATACACACCTGGAATAGCAATTACTAAAAACAATCTCAAAAAGTAAGCACAAAATACAATTATGGTCTCACTATAAAAAAAAAAAAAAAAAAATCTATTTTTTATTTTTTTTTATTTTACAAAACTTCCCCCACAGTTTTTTTCATGTGATCCTTGCAGATAATGTATCTACATTGATCCTGTAACTTTATTACTTGTGATATATTATAGATGTATCCTTTTTTGTTTATTAGATCCCCTTTCTTGTGTATCCAATTACATTGTTTTATTGTAATTAGATCCCCAGCAGTAACACAGCTATGTGAAAGGGGGAACTTAATGGATTTGAGTCTTTTTTCATCTTAAATGACAATGTAAGATATGTACACTACGAAAAAAACGAAAAAAAAAAATTATTTACATAAATAAACTAATGGTTTGCATTTCCCTGACCGTTGCAACGTAAAACCATCACAGAGATGGCAGCCTTTTAGTAGTACTGTCCCTTGGTGTGTCGGTACTATTTTTTAAAATTGAGTTGTGTATGTTGCCGTATTGTGCTTGCGCTATTAATAGGTGCTGCAGTTTCTTTGTAACTTTGTCTTTGTGCGCATGTGGGCAGTTATATTGAATATGTTCGCGAGTAGCTTTGTTTATACAGCTTTAGTACACAGCCTTCCTAAACTCTTCCTGTAAAGTAAGATCTAATGTTTACATTTTTTTTTATTTTCTAATTGTAATTATTAAACAATGAAATTTGCATAATAATGTGCTATTAATGTGACATATTATACAAGAGAATTCTGGCATTGTTTGGAAAAGACAATAATCAATCATATGAGGTTTAACAGGGTTGCAAGAACAAAGTTGGGTACATCATATTAATGTTTACATTTCCTTTATTGCACAGCCTGTTTAATTTAGAAGTTTGTATCTTCTGCACTGTTTATAGCCTGCTAGACGTGGCAGTACCCTACTGTGTATGATTAAAGTTCCATTAACAGAGCAGGAGATAAAACCTAAAGTAAATTAACATCTGATTGAAAATGAAACCATTTTCTTTTCGTGTAGGCTGTTTCAGTCACAGTCAGGGTAGGTGTGGTTAGGGCTGAAACTACAGTGATTCAACTCCTAAATGGCAGAGAATTGAGCAGTGAGACAGGAGGGGTATGATCTTTACACAATAACTACTTTATTAAGCCATTGTTGTTTTGGTGACAATAGTGTCCCTTTATTTTATTTCAACCACTACTTCTTTGGTAAGTAAGGTATACAATCTACAATAATGCATAGTAGTTATTGTGCTTGAAGTGTGAAGTCCTGAAAAAGATTTGTAGGGAATTCAAAGTGAATTTTACATTTTAGACCAAAAACTAAACTGGAAGCATAGCTAACTTGGAGACTTGTTCCAAATCATCCATTTTGGCCTTAAATTATTAGGGCATAACGCTAGGATACTTTAGCCTTAAATTTTAAATGTACTTTAAATTCATTTTGATTGACAATTCTCACTTTCTCACGTTATTGAATAACCCTGAATGATTTCTGGTGTATTTGGCAAATTGTCTGACAGCGAGGAAGTTATCCTACCCTTTGAGGACAGAGGGGATGGAATAATGCAGTACACCTCTCACAGGCCAACAGTGTTACTAAGCTCTGAATTTCAGCAAATTAAAGTAACACTCCACACACATCATGACCACTACAGCATGTTGTAAAGGTGGTTTTGGTGCCAGGAGTTCCCTTGAGCCCCCATTGTAAGTAGTCACACTATTTTTGAATGGTTTTCACCTCATGCTGCCTCCTCTCAGCAGCCAGAAGAACCATCCTCCTAAGATCTCCAGTTAGCTTTCCTGAGATAGGCCCCACATTGGCTAAGAGTCAGCTGATCTCCCTCAGCCAGTAAGATAAGCCCTGCACTGCCAGGCTTAGCTTAGACACTGAGCTTCCGCTTCTCCTGTAGGCTGTAGAGGAGGCAGGAAGTGGCTACAAGTCGACCATTAAAAAAAAAAAAACCCAAACGGTTTCAATACTCACATTGTGGTGGCGCCAGAGAGCTCATAGCACCATGCACACTACAGCTCATACTTTTCATATGAATGGCTAAATTTCGGCAACAATGATGGATTTTTTTTAAAAAAGTTCAACTAAGCCATAGTCACAACTGGGCAATTTTAGCCTCAATTTTGCTATTTGGATTTCAATTCACTAGAATTCTGAATGTAGTGAATAACTCTTACAAGATTTGTTTTACTTAAGTGTTAGTGGATAAATCCAAAACTCTGGTATGAATAATGGAATATTAAATGACAAGTCTAAAAGAGATCTAATGGTCTATTCACTAAACATGAATTGGTGGTGAGTTGACACTAAATTGCAAAAAAGTTCATTGAAAATAGTCTACATATCCTAAAAAAAGAATCGCTGAATCTTTTACTTTTTCTATTTGCCTATTTTGGTTTGAACTTGCAAGTCAGTTAAGACTGTAAATATAGTAAAATATTTCCCTTATTCCAGTCTGCTGGTGCTGGCTCTGCCCCTGATCTGCCTCCTTGGCTGACATTATCAGAAGTGATTATCTAAGCCAATCACAATGCTTTCCCATAGGAATGTTGATGATCTCAGCCAAGGAGGGGGGGTTGGCCCGGGGTGGAGCCAAACACCACACTTGCCATACAGCATCTCCTAATTCAATGCATCTCTATGAGGAAAGTTCAGTGTCTCCATGCAGAGGGTGGAGACACTGAATGTCAGTCACACTGTGCAGCACTGTCCAAGGAAGTACCTCTAGTAGCAATCTGAGGAGAGGCCAGTGGAGGTATACCTAGGCTGTAATAAAAACACTGCCTTTTCTCTGAAAAGACAGCGTTTACTGCAAAAAGCCTGCAAGGACTTACTATATGCACCAGAACAAATACAGCACATAAATAAACTGTAGTTGTTCTGGGGACTATAGTGTCCCTTTAAGGACATTTAGGATTGATTGGAGATAGAAGAGACATTTAACATCACCATATATTGTAAATAGTTTACTTTCTACCGCGGTTTCTAAATTGCCAATGTATACTGTATCGCTGTATGTCAACATGTTTCAGTTGGAAAATGCCAGGGAAATACCAATATTCCAACTCTAATTAAATGAAAACAACTTCTCGTTTAAGATTTTACAATGTAATTTTGGCAACAAGTAAAATTCTCCATAACAGACACGTCATGGTACAATGAGAATCTCTAGAATCGCTGATTAGTTTTACACTCATGAGAATTATGATTTATGGCCAGTTTAGTGAATTTTGGTGTCCACCGGAGACACTTTACCTTATTCACTATACTGTGAAGAAAAGACGAGAAAGCTGGAGCACTACTACTTTGACCTATACTTTGCAATTCTCCAAGAACGAATGGACCCCTATCATATTTCAGGATCTACTACAACAGTTGTCTATTCTTGCTTCCTCTTCTTGCTTCAAAATTCATATCATTGCCTCCTGAACTCGGACAGATAAAATGGAAGTGCAAGAGACTAGGCTTTGGGTGTCAGGAGATCACCATTTTTTGGGAGATCACTTTAAAACACAAGGATCTACACTCAAACCTCCTTGTATCACAATCGTAACAATAAGTTATAGTGGTTATGTTCTGGGAGTGTCCCTTTAAAATGCACGAACCATTAATATCAATGACTCTGCATCCAAGAGGTAAAGAAACTAGCCAATGGCAGAAATTCTAAACAATTTAACAAGAAACTACTAGAATAGAGGTAACAAATCGTATCTGTAAAAATTGTCACATTCACTTTTGTGCTGTTTTGTGTGCATGTACTATTTTCTTATGTACAAAACTGTTGCTCCATTTTTATACAATGCAGAGGGTTTTTTTTTTTTTTTACACGTTTTCTGTAGTGCACCAATATAATCTAGCTTTCTGCCACATTTTATTACTCTTTCTGATATTTTGCTGATTTTTATCCGGATGATTTTACCATTGATTACATTCACAATATAAGACAAATAAGAAGTAGAAGGAAAAAGATATTGCAATTAGAATAGGCTTCCCCAAACTCCGGCCCTCCAAATGTTGCTGAACTACAACTCCCATGTTTATATGAATGAAACAGATTGGCTGAGAATCATGGGAGTTGTAGTTCAGCAACATCTGGAGAGCCGAAGTTTGGGGAAGCCTGAATTAGAAGGATGTTTTATTTCTTAGACAAAAAGATTGTGAAACCCATCACTTGCACAGTGGTGTAACATTCTGTTAAAAAAAAAAGGACACACTTAGGCAACTTTCTTTTGAATAACGATCCAAAATGGACCAAGAAAACAAAATGACACGAGTGTTCCAGTAAATAATATTTTGGTGCAAATAAGGGAATAAATAGGTTCTAATAAGAAAATTGCCACAAAGTGAACATAACACCAAATATTCTTTAATCTATTTAATAAAAGAACAATGCTAATAATTCTAACTTATTTTCCTGGGTAATTCTTTAGGGGCAAATATTTCTCGAGTGCAAATTCAAACAGGTTTCTTGCATAGCCTTTCCAGGGCCCGACTGATAGCTGTTTATGATAAATACCAATAAATCACAGACATGTTAAGTGTTGTCACTTTGACAAAATGATTGGCAAATGATTTACCCAAGGCACCATTTTGAATTATTTACCCACGTGGGATGATGGAAGACTTTTGTTGGGGTTGTGTGCCCACAGCGTCCCAGGTTTTAATATAACCCACTTTTTGCCCACTACCAGGTCCCTATGATTGGATGGTGTTAATAATAGGCAAACAGAGATGGTCTGACCAAAGGTCGGAGCAACATTTACTGTTAGAATTATTTCTGGCAGCTTTTGCATATATATTATAAACTTGGACAAAGATATTTATATTTTGTTTGCTGACATTAGCAATCTCTGCCATGGCACATTAAGGGAAGCCATCTTGAACTGAACTGGACAGCCCGGTTGTAGCTGATTGGTTGTCACGTAAATTATTGTGCCAAGCATGGAATCGAAACGTATGTCCTTAAGTGAGCTACTTCATTCGACAGTGTGCAATTTAGTTGCAAAGTTGGTGCAAGTTAACTTTTACAGCATAGAACCCATCCAGTAGAAGTATTTTTCAATACAATTATTACACTAATATTTTACATGGTATCAATTATTCAAAGTCCAATAATCTGGTCCATGCAGCAAAGCATATGGATGGACTCCTGCATCCTTACAACACAGTAAGAAACATAGTGCATAGTGTAATGTGTGTCAGGCAAAAACAAAAATACCTTAACATGGAAAATAGAAAAAGATGAACTAAGTATAGAATAAAATGCAATATTCTACTCAGCAATACAGCAAGAGTGGGGAAACTGTGTGAGTAAAGGGAATACAATGTGATGTATGAACTGGGGTGCAGTGATAGGTTTGCATGTAGAATGTATCCAGAGGGGGTGTTTATTGGGGTGGAGGAGTGGTGAGTGTGAATGCAGACAGAATGACTGTAAATTAGAGCACACAGGAGGTAAAATATTTAGGTAGTAACTGAGTGTGGTATATAAAGTTAAACAAAATGTTAGTATATAAAATACAGTAGCACAGTCTATTAATAGAAGGTGAGATAGCAAAAGGGGTCACAGTGACAGTGCAGCTTAGATGGGTAATGATAGTTAGTATAATAATAAGATGGGTCATAGTGATAGTGCATATAAGAGGGTTAGTGAGTAAAAGAATAATAGGTGTCACAGTGATAGTGCATGTAAGAGGGGTAGTGAGTATAAGAATAATAGGGATCACAGTGATAGTGCATATAAGAGGGTTAGTGAGTATAAGAATAATAGGGATCATAGTGATAGTGCATATAAGCGGGTTAGTGAGTAAAAGAATAATAGGTGTCACAGTGATAGTGCATGTAAGATGGGTAGTGAGTATTAGAACAAGAGGGGTCACAGTGATAGTGCATGTAAGAGGGGTAGTGAGTATTAGAACAAGAGGGGTCACAGTGATAGTGCATGTAAGAGGGGTAGTGAGTATTGGAACAAGAGGGGTCACAGTGATAGTGCATATAAGAGGGTTAGTGAGTATAAGAACAAGAGGGGTCACAGTGATAGTGCATGTAAGAGGGGTAGTGAGTATTAGAACAAGAGGGGTCACAGTGATAGTGCATATAAGAGGGTTAGTGAGTATAAGAATAAGAGGGGTCACAGTGATAGTGCATGTAAGAGGGGTAGTGAGTATTAGAACAAGAGGGGTCACAGTGATAGTGCATGTAAGAGGGGTAGTGAGTATAAGAATAAAAGGGGTCACAGTAAAAGTGCTTATAAGAGGGGTAGTGAGTACAACAGTGGTCACAGTGATAGTACATATAAGAGGGGTAGTGAGTATAAGAGGGGTCACAGTGACAGTGCCTATAAGAAAGTTAGTGAGTATCAGAATAATAGGGATCACAGTAATAGTGCATGTAAGAGGAGTAGTTAGCATAGGAATAAGAGGGATTGCAGTGATAGTGCATATAAGAGGAGTAGTGAGTATTAGAATAATAGGGATCACAGTGATAGGGCATATAAGAGAGGTAGTGAGTATAAGAATGTGAGGGGTCACAGTGATAGTGACTAGAAGAATGATGTGATTATAGTGAATATTAGTGAGAGAGTATACAAGAGTTAGAGAGAGAAAATCAAAGTGATGGTGAATAGAGAAGAAACACAGTGATAGTGAGTAAAAGAGTGAGAAAGAGATCATAGTCTTAGTGAACAAAGGAGTGAGAATTAACTTCAATAATAGTGAATAGAAGAGTGAGAGGGATCACAGTGATAGTGAGTAGTGAGAGAAATCATAGTAATAATGTCTAAAAGAGCGTGAAAAGGATCACAGTGATGGTGAATAGAAGAGAGGGATCCCAGTGATAGTGACATAAGAGTGACAGGAATCATAATGATAGTGAATATAAGAGTGAGAGAAGATCACAGCGATGGTAAATATGAGGGTGAGAGGAGATCACAGTGATAGTAAATATAGGGGTGAAAGGAGATCACAGTAATAGTAAATATAAGGGTGAGGGGAGATTACAGTGATAGTGAATACGAGTCAGAGGTATAACTATTAAAGGATAAAGAGTGAGAAAGTTCACAGTGATAGTTATTAGAAGAGTGACATGGATCACATTCATAGTGAATATTGTAGTGAGGGATAATAACAGTAATAGTAAATAGAAGAGTGAGAGTCACCACAATGATAGTGAATAGAAGAGTGAGTGTCACCACAGTGATAGTGAATAGAAGAGTGAGAAGAGATCACCCTGATGGTGAATAGAAATGTGAGAATCACTACAATAATGGTAAATAGAAATGTGAGAGCCACTACAGTAATGGTGAATAGAACAGTGATAGTGAACAGAAGAGTGTGATGCGATCACAGTGAGAGTGAATACAAGTGAGGAGATAACTGTGGAAGTGAATAGTAGAGTAAGAAGAGATCATAGTAAGAGTGAACAGAAGTATAAGAGGGGTCACAGTGATAGTGAATATTAGTGTAAGGGATCAAAGTGATAGTGAATAGAATAGTGACAGGGATCACAGTCATAGTGAATAGAATAGTGACAGGGATCATAGTCCTCGTGGACAGAAGTGTAAGGGATCAAAGTGATAGTGAATAGAATAGTGACAGGGTATCACAGTGATAATGAATAGAATAGTGACAGGTATCACAGTGATAGTGAATAGAATAGTGACAGGGATCACAGTCATAGTGGACAGAAGTGTAAGAGGGATCACAGTGATAGTGAATAGAATAGTGACAGGGATCACAATTATAGTGGACAGAAGTGTAAGAGGGATCACAGTGATAGTGAATAGAATAGTGACAGGGATCACAATTATAGTGGACAGAAGTGTAAGAGGGATCACAGTGATAGTGAATAGAATAGTGACAGGGATCACAATTATAGTGGACAGAAGTGTAAGAGGGATCACAGTGATAGTGAATAGAATAGTGACAGGGATCACAATTATAGTGGACAGAAGTGTAAGAGGGATCACAGTGATAGTGAATAGAAAAGTCCTGGGTCCCCCTGTCCTGGGATGAACCTGACTCAGTTCCAGACAGGACCCATGTGGCACCAGTAGATTGAAGCACTAACATCCCATCACACAGTGTGATCAACATATAACAGCATATAATATATAAATCACTTACCTTTCAGGTAGATCACAGCACCCAGGACCAGCCAGATCCCCCTGTATCCCGGTCTCCTCATCCTGTAGGGGGCACTTCTGCCCAGATGGAGAGGGGACGTTGTGTAGGGCACCTCCAAAAAAATATCCCAAATCCAGGAGTCAGCACAAATCCAAAAAAATCCCAAACACATGGACCCCCAGCAGCCCCAGAGGACACACAACCAGCGTGCAGCAGACAGCAGACTGGAATCTTCACCCACGTGTGCTACAGGGATCCCTCCAACTGCCCCCCCTGAGCCCAGCCAATCCTGCCCCCCTACCCCAGGGCTGGGAGATCCAGGCAGGGAGCCTGGGACAGGGCTGCAGCATGCAGGGCAGCAGATCCTTTAAACCTGATCCATGCACAGCCAAATCCCAGACTAGGAAAAGCTGCTCGCTGCTCTGCTGCAAAACCCAAGGAGGATGCGCACACACAGCAGAGAGAGAGATTTAACATCAGCCTCCACGTGCACCAGGACAGACTGCAGGACAGCACTGGGACCTGGCTGCTGGAAGAGGGAGGTCTCAGCACCTCCTGCCAGAGAGAGGTCCTGGGGTAAATCACCTGCTGGAGAGAAGACCTGGGAGATCACCTGCTGGAGAGAGGTCCTGGGGTAAATCACCTGCTGGAGAGAAGACCTGTGAGATCACCTACTGGAGAGAGGTCCTGGGGTAAATCACCTCATGGGGATATGGAAAGGACCTGGGAGCAGATCACTTACTGGAGAGAGGTCCTGTGAGATCACCTGGGGCGATAATCTGGGAAGAATCACCTGAAGAGAGGAATCACCTGAATAGAGGTCTTGGGAGCAGATGATTTGCTGGATTGAGGTCCTGGGAGAAGATAACCTGCTGGATTGAGGTCCTGGGAGTAGATCACCTGCTGGATTGAGGTCCTGTGAGCAGATCACTTGCTGGATTGAGGTCCTGGGAGCAGATCACCTGCTGGATTGAGGTCCTGGGAGCAGATCACCTACTGAATTGAGGTCCTGGAAGCAGATGACTTGCTGGATTGAGGTCCTGGGAGCAGATCACTTGCTGGATTGAGGTCCTGGGAGCAGATAACTTGCTGGTTTGAGGTCCTGGGAGCAGATGACTTGCTGGATTGAGGTCCTGGGAGCAGATGACTTGCTGGATTGAGGTCCTTGGAGCAGATCACCTGCTGGAATGAGATCCAGTGATGTGAGATCACGTGTAGAAGACAGTGCTGGCTGGCTGTAGAGTGCTTGGGGTGTGAGATCACTTGCTGGGTGATAGTGTCTAGGATTGTAGACAGCCTGGGATTATACAGTCTCTGGGGTGTAATCTCATGTTGAGGAGAGTCTGGGGTGATCACTGACTGGGGGATCTCATGGATTTAAAGATCAAGAGATCTGCTGCCTCTGGGTCTCTCAGTTTTTTAAGGATCTGTTTCTGAAAATGTCTGGGACCTCAAAGTCTTCCTGTTTTGTTCATGTGCTGAACCTGGATCCTGTAATTCACCAGGAGAAATGTTGCTGCTGACTCCCTCTCCCTGATGGGGCACTCTGCTGCTAACCCCCAGTATGTGGAACTCTGCTGCTATCCTCCCAGTATGGGGCACTCTGCTGCTACCCCCAGTATGTGGAACTCTGCTGCTATCCCCCCAGTATGGGGCACTCTGCTGCTACCCCCAGTATGTGGAACTCTGCTGCTATCCCCCCAGTATGGGTCACTCTGCTGCTATCTTCCCAGTATGGGGCACTCTGCTATCCCCCCAGTATGAGGCACTCTGCTGCTATTCCCCCCAGTATGAGGCACGCTGCTACCCCCCCAGTATGAGGCACTCTGCTGCTATTCCCCCCAGTATGAGGCACGCTGCTACCCCCCCAGTATGAGCACTCTGCTGCTACCCCCCAGTATAAGGCACTCTGCTGCTATTCCCCCCAGTATGAGGCACTCTTCTGCTACCCCCAAGTATGGGGCAATCTGCTGCTATTCCCCCCAATATGAGGCACTCTGCTATCCCTCCAGTATGAGTCACTCTGCTATCCCCCCAGTATGAGTCACTCTGCTATCCCCCCAGTATGAGGCACTCTGCTGCTGTCTCCCTAATAATGAGTACCAAAGGAGAAGTTTGCTGCTGATTCTCCCACAGGGATTTTGATGCCCCCCCCTTCCCCCCAGTACAGGGTGTTTTGCTGTTGACCCCAGTTAGGGGTATTTTGATATTATTCTCCCCCCAGTAAGGGGGTGTTTTGATATTATTCTCCCCCAGTAAGGGGGTGTTTTGATATTATTCTCCCCCCAGTATGGGGGTGTTTTGATATTATTCTCCCCCAGTAAGGGGGTGTTTTGATATTATTCTCCCCCCAGTAAGGAGGTGTTTTGATATTATTCTCCCCCCAGTAAGGGGGTGTTTTGATATTATTCTCCCCCAGTAAGGGGGTGTTTTGATATTATTCTCCCCCCAGTAAGGGGGTGTTTTGATATTATTCTCCCCCAGTAAGGGGGTGTTTTGATATTATTCCCCCCCAGTAAGGGGGTGTTTTGATATTATTCTCCCCCCAGTAAGGGGTGTTTTGATATTATTCCCCCCCAGTAAGGGGGTGTTTTGATATTATTCTCCCCCAGTAAGGGGGTGTTTTGATATTATTCTCCCCCAGTAAGGGGGTGTTTTGATATTATTCTCCCCCAGTAAAGGGGTGTTTTGATATTATTCTCCCCCAGTAAGGGGGTGTTTTGATATTATTCTCCCCCAGTAAGGGGTGCTATGCCCATTACAGGTATTCAGCCTTTAAGCAGCCTGTTGCTGGTACTGGGGTGTCTTGCTGTTGGGGGTCCCTGTCTGCCCACCTGGGGGTCCTTCCTTGCATCCCTGAGCACGTGCTCCCCCCTCCCTCACTGACATGCCGTCTCCATGGAAACCCCAGGACGCAGCCCCTCTCCGTAATCTTGTTTATGGTCTCTGCAGCCGGCTCACAGTGTGCGGGACAGCGACACCTAGCGGCCAACTATCCCACTGCAGCACAGACACCTAGTGCATACAGACAACAAGGAACAACTGCAGTGACTGCGGGGAGTAAAGGGTTAATACTGACTGACTGCGGGGAGTAAAGGGTTAATACTGACTGACTGCGGGGAGTAAAGGGTTAATGCTGACTGACTGCGGGGAGTAAAGGGTTAATACTGACTGACCGCGGGGAGTAAAGGGTTAATACGGACTGACTGCGGGGAATAAAGGGTTAATACTGACTGACTGCGGGGAGTAAAGGGTTAATACTGACTGACTGCGGGGAATAAAGGGTTAAGACTGACTGCCTGCGGGGAGTAAAGGGTTAATACTGATGGACTGCAGAGAGTAAAGGGTTAATACTGACTGACTGCGGAGAGTAAAGGGTTAATACTGACTGACTGCGGAGAGTAAAGGGTTAATACTGACTGACTGCTGGGATTAAAGGGTTAATACTGACTGACTGCGGGGAGTAAAGGGTTAATACTGACTGACTGCGGGGATTAAAGGGTTAATACTGTCTGACTGCGAGGAGTAAAGGGTTAATACTGATGGACTGCGGAGAGTAAAGGGTTAATACTGACTGACTGCGGGGATTAAAGGGTTAATACTGACTGACTGCGGGGAGTAAAGGGTTAATACTGACTGACTGACTGCGGGGATTAAGGGGTTAATACTGACTGACTGCGGGGAGTAAAGGGTTAATACTGACGGCGGGGAGTAAAGAGTTAATACCGATTGACTGACTGCGGGGAGTAAAGGGTTAATACTGACTGCGGGGAGTAAAGGGTTAATCCTGACTGACTGCGGGGATTAAAGGGTTAATACTGACAGACTGACTGCGGGGAGTAAAGGGTTAATACTGATGGACTGCGGAGAGTAAAGGTTTAATACTGACTCACTGACTACGGGGAGTAAAGGGTTAATACTGACTGACTGACTGCGGGGATTAAAGGGTTAATACTGACTGACTGCGGGGAGTAAAGGGTTAATACTGACTGCGGGGATTAAAGGGTTAATACTGACTGACTATGGGGAGTAAAGGGTTAAAACTGACTGCGGGGAGTAAAGGCTTAATACCAACTGACTGACTGCGGGGAGTAAAGGGTTAATACTGACTGCGGGGAGTAAAGGGTTAATACTGACTGACTGCAGGGAGTAAAGGGTTAATACTGACTGACTGACTGCGGGGAGTAAAGGGTCAATACTGACTGACTGCGGGGAGTAAAGGGTTAATACTGACTGACTGCGGAGAGTAAAGGGTTCATACTGACTGACTGCGGGGAGTAAAGGGCTAATACTGACTGACTGCGGAGAGTAAAGGGTTAATACTGACTGACTGCGGAGAGTAAAGGGTTAATACTGACTGACTGCGGGGAGTTAAGAGCTAAAACTGACTGCAGGGAGTAAAGGGTTAATACTGACTGACTGCGGGGAGTAAAGCGTTAATACTGACTGCAGGGAGTAAAGGGTTAATACTGACTGACTGAAGGGAGTAAAGGGTTTATACTGACTAACTGACTGTGGGGAGTTAAGAGCTAAAACTGACTGCGGGGAGTAAAGGGTTAATACTGACTGACTGTGGAGAGTAAAGGGTTAATACTGACTGACTGCAGGGAGTAAAGGGTTAATACTGACTGACTGTGGGCAGTTAAGCGCTAATACTGACTGCGGGGAGTAAAGGCTTAATACTGACTGACTGCGGGGAGTAAAGGGTTAATACTAACGGACTAACTGCGGGGAGTACAGGGTTAATACTGACTGACTGCGGGGAGTAAAGGGTTAATACTAACTTACTGACTGCTGGGAGTAAAGGGTTAATACTGACTGACTGCGGGGAGTAAAGGGTTAATACTGACTGTGGGGAGTAAAGAGTTAATACTCACTGAATAACTGCGGGGAGTAAAGGGTTAATACTCACTGACTGACTGCGGGGAGTAAAGGGTTAATACTGACTGACTGCGGGAAGTAAATGGTTAATACTGACTGCGGGGAGTAAAGGGTTAATACTGACTGACTGTGGAGAGTAAAGGGTTAATACGGACTGACTGCGAGTAGTAAAGGGTTAATACTGACTGACTAACTGCGGGGAGTAAAGGGTTAATACGGACTGACTGCGGAGAGTAAAGGGTTAACACTGACTTACTAACTGCGGGGAGTAAAGGGTTAATACTCACTGACTGCGGAGAGTAAAGGGTTAATACTGACTGACTAACTGCGGGGAGTAAAGGGTAAATACTGACTGTATTGTATAGTGATTCTGTGTATTACAGGGCGATATAATGGGCTGGATGTAATGTATAGTGAAACTGTGAATTACAAGGTGATATAATGGGTTGAATGAAATGTATGGCGATACTGTGTATTACAGGGTGATATAATGGGTTGGATGAAATGTATAGCGATACTGTGTATTACAGGTTGATATAATGGGTTGGATGAAATGTATAGCGATACTGTGTATTACAGGTTGATATAATGGGTTGGATGAAATGTATAGCGATACTGTGTATTACTGGGTGATATAATGGGTTGGATGTAATGTATAGCGATACTGTGTATTACAGGGTGATATAATGGGTTGGATGTAATGTATAGTGATACTGTGTATTACAGGGTGATATAATGGGTTGGATGTAATGTATAGTGATACTGTGTATTACAGGGTGATATCATGGGTTGGATGTAATGTATAGCGATGCTGTGTATTACAGGGTGATATAATGGGTTGGATGAAATGTATAGCGATACTGTGTATTACAGGGTGATATCATGGGTTGGATGTAATGTATAGTGATTCTGTGTATTACAGGGTGATTTAATGGGCTGGTTGTAATGTATAGTGATACTGTGTATTACTGGGTGATATATTGGGTTTGGGGTAATATATAGTGATAATTTGTATTATAGCGTAACGTTATAAGAGTTATAGGTGCAGTGGCGGAACTACCACAGTCGCAGGGGGTCGTAGCTGCAACACAGGCCCATCACTTCAGGGGGCCTGGCCGCCCTGCTGACCCTACAACCGTGGGCCACCAAGAGGAGCACTGTCACGGGGGCGGCGCACCTAGGGCACTTCCGAATTGGGGCTTGTGCAGTGAGGCAGATTAAGCACCTGCTTGCCTGGATGGCAGGTGCCTACTCTGCCGATATATATCAAAGGGAGGCGGTAAGGGAGCATTGATCTGACAGTTCCTCTGACAGGTGGGAGGGAATGAAACATGTGGAGGGGCTGGTGGAGGGGAATTAGACATGTGCAGGGGTTGATGGGTGGAATGAGACATGTGGAGGGGCTGGTGGAGGGGAATTAGACATGTGGAGGGGTTGATGTGGGGAATGAGACATGTGGAGGGGCTGGTGGAGGGGAATTAGACATGTGCAGGGGTTGATGGGTGGAATGAGACATGTGGAGGGGCTGGTGGAGGGGAGCATGTGCAGGGGCTGATGGGTGGAATGAGACATGTGGGGGGGCTGGTGGAGGGGAATTAGACATGTGCAGGGGTTGATGGGTGGAATAAGACATGTGGAGGGGCTGGTGGAGGGGAATTAGACATGTGCAGGGGCTGATGGTGGGGAATGAGACATGTGGAGGGGCTGGTGGAGGGGAATTAGACATGTGCAGGGGCTGATGGTGGGGAATGAGACATGTGGGGGGGCTGGTGGAGGGGAATTAGACATGTGCAGGGGTTGATGGGTGGAATGAGAAACATGGGGGGGCCCAGGGCAATTTTCGCACCAGGGCCCAGTGGTTTCTAGTTACGCCTCTGGATAGGTGTAATGTAAAGGAATACATCATGTGAGAAAGAAATGAGACTAATATAAATTCATAGTGAGAGATACATATATAAAGTGTCCACATATATACTGTCTATTCAGTGCAAATATAAAAAGCTTCCGGGTATGGTGCCTTTATACAGTTTATTCAATACGAACTTAAAGTAGACTAATGCACAGCAAATAATTTGTATCATCCAAATCAGCTTAACTGAAAATTGTTTGGTTTGGATGAACTAAATTTCGTCCATTTGACCTTTTCGTTTTAGCAAATTTCGGCCATGTGATTGTTTTTCCGAGAAAAACTATTAGGATGAATCAAAATGCACAAACATTAACCTATGTGGGTTTACAATGGGCAACCCAGCATTTAGAAACATTGCTACACAAATCTCGTGAGAGACAAGACGTGGCTGTCAGAGACCTCTGAAGATTTCAAAGTACGTGAAGACCTTAAAGACTTTTCCCACCTTGAAAGCTCAGTTTGCAGAGATCCCTCACTGGGCTCACTTTTATTAATTCTGGTTTGTGGCATGTTTTTCATTTTTATTTATTTTTTGTTTCTTTCTTTTTTTTAATGATAGCTTTGGGTTATTATGTTTTTTTATATAGCCTTTTTTTAAGGCTGAAGAAAAGTAGACTTGAGGAGAAAGACGACTTCTGAAGGCAAGTAGGATTTTTTTTACAGGAGATGAGGAGGAGGCCCCTCACTATTCTAAGAATAAGGAGGTAAATAGGGAATGTTTTTTACAAAATGTATTAATAAAGCCTTGTTTAGGTGAAACGCATTGCGTAAATGCAGTTGGATTTTATTTTTACACCTTATCTAATAAAGTTTTTTTGACTAACTATTTTACTGTTCTGGGCCATATACTTTTTAAATATTTTTTCCATGTTTTTTTTTTACTTTTTTTTTCCAGGCATCAAATCCTCGGTGGGGATCATACCACTAATGCTGATCATCCTGAGCAGATTAAACTGCTCAACGAAGTGTGAGTATGATTCCACCACCTTTTTATGTTGTATTAAGCTATACAGAGTGCACTATATTGCTTTCTTATGTTTCATGGGGTACCCTGACCAAGGAGTCCAGAACCTATGCAAATCAACTTGTTAGGGATCATACCACCAGATGCTTGATATGTTGAGCTTGTGTTATGGGCTCTCTCATTGTGAATGTGTATTTGTATTCACTGTATCCACACATATATACTAACAGTATTACAAAATTGCCTGTTAAACACCTGGGCACTATTCACTATTGACCTGGTTGTCTATTACAAGAAATACCCATATAATTATATATTACTGCATGCTGTCAAAACTTGAGCTAGTCATAAGTTCCAATTAATGTGAGTGAGCATTGACGAAGTTGACAGTATCTACTATCTACAGCAATCTGCGTTATCGATTTTTATTATCTGTTTTACGAATGTACTTGTGGACCAAGCTTTATTCCAATGGATACAGGAATATTTGATACAAGAAAATTGCGAACTATACCCATTTTAACTATTTTCCCTTTATTTGGTATTTGGCGCAACCTGTGTGTTTTTTCTGTTGTTTTGCGGTGTTGTACTTTCAAGAGGATAAGGCAGTTGCTCATTTCACAGGATTTTCTGTCTTTAGATATCTATAGCTGTGTCTCAATACTTCTACATCAAAACTATTACACCAGTAACCTAACCACCTCACCAGAGTCACAATAGGATCAATGACACACGTGATCTCACACAAACGCAGCAATGGTGAAGCACAAAATAACTGCTGCTTGGTCTCCCTCAATAGCTGATTTCAAAGTGTATGGATGGATTCCGTTTGGAAATCTTTTTACAGCTCCATTTTCCCCCTCAAAAAGCAATTACTCACTTGCTCTGTGAATAAAATGAAAATTTAGTGGCTATCCAATAACCATCAATCATCATTTATCCATCAAAAATGTTAGTTTTGATTGACAGGAGATACAGCCCACATTATTGGGCAGGCAACTTGTTCATAATGGCAAATGAAGCTGCTTATTTGCCCCCCCAAATCAGCTTTCCCCCCCATTCCAACCTTTTTTTATGGCACCATGAGCAGAACTCCAAATCACAAACAAATTATATGGCTTGTACATTGCCTGTTTAGATTGTTTCGCGATACATACATAGAGTTGTGAAATCAACCAAAATGCATACGAATTGCAAATCCACAAGTCTAGTAATAATGTGTCTTGAGCACAGTGTGATCCTGTAAGCACACAGTGTACTATGTCCCTGCAAATAGCACGTTCCTCTAGGCCGGGTATATAATAATCACAGTCTTGCGGAATCAATGAAATAATTCACACGCGTTATTTTGCAATCCACTTCAGGAGATCACATTAGAAACAATCACAAAAGAAATTCCTACAAACAAAATCCTAGTCCTAACGTAGATATCACTGACTATCAAGGTTTAAACTAAGTAAAACACAGCTTTCACCAACCTTATAGAAAGTGACCTTGCGGCACTCCAGTCCTCACTGCAGCTAGCCTGCTGCTTCCAGCCCTCAAAGGAGAAACAAAATAAAAGTCTCCCTTACTTGTCTACCAGGTAGGGATTTACTTCCTTTACTGCTGCTCATTACTTGCAGCTGAGCAGTGGGTTGGAGTCATTCTGTACTCCTGGCCTGGACTTTATTTTTCTCTGTCTGTAAACTGGGGAGTGGAGCACTGGCCCGCCCTACCGGCACTGGCGGGAGTAAATAGAAGGTGGCCCCACAGATACAATGGATTGAGTATATGGATGGCATCCGTTTTATAAATGATCAAGAAGAAATTACAGCAATTAAGCAGTGGAGTCCTGAGTTGAATTACCAGGTCAATAAGTCATAATGGATTCTTTGACGAAGTTAAAAAGTCTATTCATTGCCGTACTTTGGTGGAAACCTTTTATAAATGAATCAACACATTGTACTATGTGCCAGGTAGATTAGCGACAATGTTTCTGTCTCCATCCTCCAATTGTTCATACCTGGTGGTCATGTAACAACATTGAAACCTGGAAGTAAATACAAGTTCAACTTGGATCGTTGACTGATATCAAACATTGAAATTCTCTCCAGTTGAATCTTTGTTGCTACCGAATTGGCCAAATGTTTCATGGGAACTAAAATAGATTATTATACACAGATTAGTAATCACCATGTTAGTTATAGCAAAGAGCTGGGTCAGGTTTAGGTTGTCTGCATTTTGCTTATAAAAGTGGATACATTGGAATGTATGGTTGGAGACATTACTCGAGGAGACCTAGTATGAACATTTCTTTTAGGAAGTTTTCAATGAAATGTTTTAACTGTTTTAAGAACCAGGTGTCCGTCACCTTATAGTTGAATTATGTTAAATGATTCCATATTGTTATTGTTTCTTACTTGAATTTGTCCTGTCTTGTTTTGTATGTATTTTAAAGGAACGCTGTAGCCTTACAGATCCGTATCCCCAACACTACAGCCCTGGTGTCCCTATACAACTAGGTGCCCTCCCCTATAATCTTAAAAGTAAAACAAAATAATTAATTTTAAAATAAATTACTCACCCTTCTCCAGCGCTGAGTCTATTACTTTTAGTGTTTTATTCCAGTCCCAAGCCGACACACATTAATGAAATGGTGGTGTTGTGGGTGATTATAGAGGTTTAAACATAAAATATTTGGTTCCGGTGTACTGGAGAAACGAAGCACTGTTGTTCAAATCAGGCTTGTTGTTTGGTTCCCGCGTCTGCATTGGGTGGGCTGAAAGAAAACTGTGTGTTTGAATACATTTGAATGTTGAATATATATATATATATATCACAGGTGTTGTATGGAGACTCTTGGGGTAGTTTTGGAAATGTTCTCAACTGGTTTTCTTGTAAAAAAAGTGGAAAAATCTACATAGATCGTTGGATTCAAATCAAATTATCTCCCCATAGGCACTGAGATGCGGCCACTGGCGGGGGAGGGAGGACCCGGAGGAACTCTATCTTTCAGCTCCGCCGGGTTACTCTCACAAGGTTACTATGGCAATGCTCCAATCTCGTGAGAATGAACTCTACCCCAAAAACTGCAGGTTAGAGTTCATTTCTCACCGGACCCGCCAGGAATTTCCTACCGGACCACTAGGGCTGGCAACAAGGTAAGAAGGCGGGGGGACATAAATATAATAATTAAAAAAACATACATATATATATGTTTTTTATTTTTACCCCATAGCACCCCAAACATCACACAACACCCCAAACACCATACTGCACCCTCACACACACACACACACACACACACACTACACTCCAAACACCACACTGCACCCCTCACACACTACATCCCAAACATTACACTACACCCCAAACAACACATTGCACCCCTCATACACACACTACACCCCAAACATCACCCTACACCCCAAACATCACACTGCACCTCTCACACACACACACACACACACACTACACCCCAAACACCACACTGCACCCCTCACAGATGCACACTACACCCCAAACAATATACTGCACCCTAAACATCACAGAACACCACAGAGCACTCCAAACTCCACACAGCACCCCAAACAAACAGTGCCACCCAAACACCACAGTGCCACCCAAACACCACGGTGCCACCCAAACACACAGTGCACCACACACACACTGCACCCCAAACACCACACCCCAAACACCACACAGCACCCCAAACACCACACAGCACCCCTTACACAGACACTGCACCCAAACACCACACAACAACCCTCACACACACTGCACCCCAAACACCAAAGAGCACCCAAAACACACAGTGCACCCCTCACACACACAGCACCCCAAACACACAATGCACCCTTTACACACAATGCAGGGCAAAGAAATACAGGGCCCTTTTCTCATGCTAGAGCTCTTCAGTGGGGCTCTGCGCATTGAACCAACATGCTCACTTTGAGAGGGGGCATGCTTGTCATTGGTGATGACAAAACACATGCTCTCTGGCCCGCTCCCTTCTCAGAGGGCCGCTGTGAATCAAAAATGCCCGGTCCGAGTTTTGTTTTTAGTCTGGCCCTGGAATGAAGTAGTCAGTTTCGTAAACTGCCAGTATAATGTGTAAAACTGGTTTACTTGCAGTGATTTAAAAACAGGCAAATTTATGACAAGACATGGTACCAGGAGTAAACCAGCGCTGTCTCATGCTAACCTGTTAAACCACTTACATACAGTGTTACCTTCCTGTGTTGGGTGATTGTGGTACTTCCACAGTGAGTTAATCTGATAAAGTTGGTAATTGTCCATTATCATGCCACGTCATACCAGGATTGGATAGTATTATATTGGTTGAGCGTGTCAGGACTGTGGACTCCCAAAAAAGCAAGTTAAGTGTCAACCCATGTGAATGGAAGGAAGCGGAGCAATCCTATATTAAGATGGGTCTCCTGTTGACTGTAATATACAGGGGATTCAATACATATACATTTGTTTGTTTGTTTGTTTTTGCTAGATTGTTGAAACTATTGAATTCCGATTATACATTACTGTAAAATGGCAAAAAAATATTTTGTGTGCTAGGTATAGAAATGAGAAGGGAAACATTTTTAATATCATTATACTTTGAACATTTGTTTTAATAGAATGTACACTGTTGCATTAAAAATGCTAATAAAATAAACTGATATGATGTTTAATGTATTTTTTTATTTGTATAGTTGTGGGGCAAATAATTAGCAATTGTTAATGGAGATTGCATGCATGTTTTCTTTAAAATATGATCATTAGATCTGTCTCTGCCTGTCACCCAGTAAATACAAACACAGACAGTGTTTTGTTCAGTCAGACTATTCATTTAGGTCTTGCAAGGATCTATAATACTGCAGTGTCTCTTTGGTTCTAAAAGCAAAATTGTCTTATTACTTAAAATAAAAAAAATCACATGCATTAAAGACTCTGTGTGTATTAATGTGTAAAACCAACATATAAATAAATACCTTTTTAGTGCATCTTTTGGCTCACCCTTCTTTCATTGGGCAGACATCTTTAAAGGAAAACAATGATCAAAAATATTTTAATTTTTTTCCAATTTAAATAATTAATGATTTTGTTTTTAGTTTTACTCTGCTATTTCATTGACACGTCTCTTGTTACTGTCTGCGTAACAGCCACTACAGGTAGATTTACAGTGCGTTACAGCGTTTTCAACTAAGGGTTAAAACGGTGGCACATGGCACCCAGACAGTTTCATCAAGATAAGCTGGTCTGGGTGCCACTGCCTATAGTGTTCCTTTAACTTGAATCCTTGAAATTTCTGTTAATTAACTACTCCCCAAAAATAATAATATAGTAATCCCCCCAAAAAAGCTTATGGGTATCCATGATTTGAACGTATACAGCAGTATGAAAGCTGATAGCTGAACAACAAATCAAATAAGCCACTGTTAGGTACAACACTCACTCACGTGGGGAACTACGTAAGTACAAGGATTGGCTGAGACCTTTTCAAGCACTTCTAAGGTATGTGTTAGCTAATACATCCTTAATAGCAGTAGTGGTTCTTTAAAACCTTAAGACTCTTAAATAGATGTAAAATATAACCTGCCACCACTAAAAGATAAAACCTAACAATAATATTGAGGGGCATAATATCAAACTTACAAAGATGTATCTTAAAATATGGGCTCAGCAGACATATATACAGCTTATTAAGAAATTATAGTGTTAAAATAAGGTACAATTAATATAGAGCTGCAGAAAATCCAGCTATGGGAAAGAAGCAATGGTTCTATAAGTTATTAGGAGGGTAGGGAGCTAACATAACACCATAATATAAGAGCATTCACTTAATTTTCTAACATTACCAGCAGCAACTGCCGGGAAAACACACGTATTATTCTATCAGTATAAAATTCTGCTGCGGCTGGTAATGCGAGATATTATCTGTGTATATATAACATCTGGTCTTTCTAAGTATTCTCCTTCCTTATACGTCTGACGTGTATTGTAATCATCGGAAAGGGAGGTGATACAGATTTAAGTAGATTTTTTGGGAATATGTCAATAGTAACACAAGGAAAGGGTTATTTACTAAATACAGAATTGTTGGGAATTATTTTAACTCTCTACGTTCTGAATATAAAAGTGTACTGGGTATAAATTCCCTTTAAAGTAACCACACCATAACTAAAATAACATTAAACAAATCCTACTAATATTAAACGTCCGTAAAGGGAAACTATAACAATTGCAATCATTCAGTTTCATGATAAGCACAACTTAAAATGTATTAGCATCATTTTTATGCATCCTATTTCAGGAAACTGCAAATTCTTGATTGCTTCTCTCATTATACAAATACTTGTGTTTTGATCTGTCATTTCTTTCTGCACCTAAGATCTAACTATTGTGCTATAAACAATGAAAAGTCTGTGTTTAATCAACACATCTCGAAAGATACAGTGTGCTTATTGATAAAGACTGATGATGAGCTGATTTCTGTATCCTGTACAATCAGCATGACCAAGCCAGATATTTATAGATATTGCCCAGGGTATTTTTTATTAATCATACCTCCCAAGTGTCCCTATAAAAGAAGGCCAGTCCCCAACCGCTGAGCTCATACATCTCCCGAGGCGCCCACTGGCAGCTCTTCTTTCCCCAAGACAGGGTAAAGCGGTTGGAATGGATGGCTTCTACCAGGTGCCATCCATCCCCTCGGGCACTGGATAATGTGCCTGAAAACCTGGTTAGAGCAAAAAAGAAAGGAGGAGAACCGACAAAAGCTCACAGAGACTCGATTGCTTGCCCTTCAGAACATCCCCACTCGGGTCTCAAAATAGTTTTGGCTCACTTGTGCCATTACAGAGAGAACATATCTGAAGAATATAAGACTGGTCCCACCCGTACGGGCAGTCTAGAACCGAAATGCCGGCAAGTTGAATGCAATTTGTTGATGTGTGACTTAACTTTACAGCATTTCGTTTTTGACAACTCTGTACCTATGCATTGAACCAAAAATAAAGAATTGTAAAAGAAAAAAAGAACTCCAGTCCCTACTTTGGTTTTAAATACAGCGTTACTCTTTTTTTATCCCTTAGTCCATATTTTCTGGGAGCACGAGTTTCATAGCAGTAAAACCCACAGCAATGCATCTTCAACAGCAATAAATGTGTTTAGATATCATGCTGTGTAAAGATAAGATACATTGGTCTCATTCTAGATTAGGCTTTCACTTACATAAATGGCTATCAGTAGATCAAAAAGGCACTTAAAATATTCTCGAAAGGTGCAACCCCTGGTCACACCTCCATACACACCCCCTACAACTAACGTGTCCCTCTTTCTCCATTTGCTCTGATCGGAGATCTGGTATTATATGAAGACAAACAGTATATTATGCAAAACATAACTATTATATACTGAAATTGTGCGAGCAAAACTTTTATCTTTCATGAAAGTGAGATTGGACCTGACTTGAATAATTTTAAGAATTGTAAATATGTCTGGTTCAGATTAAATGCAACATTTACTGCAATTAGTTTATTTAGTCTGCAGGGAAATTAATATTTTAAACCTCCGATTTAGTGGATATTTTAAGATGAAGCTTTTCAAATCGTTTACGTATTTAGATAAATTTTGTAAACTTGCAATTTGACATGCAACCTTTTTCACAAATCCCCAATACACTAATTCTGCTCCTTGTTATTACGATTTTTGTAACCAATGATATCTCAATCAATTAATCTTCATACGGGAGTTTTGTCGTTTTATGTTTCTTATCCACGGCTACTATAAGACGAGAGTCACAATTTAATATCGTTTTCAAATCATCTTCTGTATGCAAGGATTAAATTGCTGTTTCAGTGACCACTTCAAAGGCATCGCCGGGACCTCACAACGGATACAATAGTCATTTAAATGCTAATTCATAGCCCTACACACATGTTATTAGAAGTGATTGTAGCCTGGCATTAAATACTGAATCATGATGGAGATAATTGATGTAGACTGCTGAAAGTGACTAATTGCAAGCCAAGCAAGTTTAACCACAGAGAGGCTTAAAGAGCTGTGTTGGCATTCTAGGTAAGCAATGAAACACCTTGTTCTTCCCTCGTAGGGCCCATTTAAAGACTATTTTCCTCTTGTGATCTATAGCTTGAGTGATGACATCATCACCATGACATAACCACCTCACTGAAGAGGAATATCCAAAAGGGCACTTTAAATAGGCACCCAGGGTCCAGGGATTAGACAAGGGACTCCAAACCATTTGCTATCCCAGTGTGAAGAATGAAGAGGAGACCCCAAGCCAGTATCTTGCCTAGGACCCTTTGGGATCTTAATTATACTCTGCCATCCATGATCTAGCCCCCTGAGTCATCCTGACATAGTCACATGGGCCACCATGATATACCCACATGAGCCATACTGAGCTAAACACATGAAGCCACATCAAATCTCCATGAAATCTCAAGACAAATTATTATGTTTTAAACGATTAGCTGTGAAGTATAATCATCAGACATTGATCATCATAAATAAAACATACCGTCTAAAAAAATAACTAATTATGATAAACTCCAGACCTTACCCAGGTGGAGCAATTTCAATCTGGAATATTAATAATTGAAACAGACGAATGTGCAAAACTATGGTTTTGTTAAAAACTAAATATATAAAAAATACAAGTATCTAAACAATGCTTATCTGTACAAACATCAACAAAATCTACTTAAAATGACCAATCGCAAAGCAACAATAGGAAAACGCCTAGAAACAATTCAGCGAAGAATAAGGGCATCATTTAATAATGAAACCAAGGAAAGTAATCCCTGTAACTGTTCTGACACCCACAAATTGACACAATAACAACCTTTCTCTCGCAATCCAGGTAGATGACCAATAAACCAGTCATGGGGATGCTAATATTTCTCCAATCAACATCTGCAGGTCAATTCAATTATATACAAGGCAACCTTCGGCACACCAGATGCTGTGGACTACTTCTCTCCTGAGGCCGGCATTATGGCTGAAAGTGCATCATGGGAGATGTAGTCCACAATATCTGGAGTGCCTAAAGTTGCAGAATTATTTTTTCATCAGTTTAGAAGAAATGGCAATAGTCATTAATCTGGTAACGGATGGAAGGTCTGAGAACAGGAATACGTGCTATAATACATTCCTCCTATAAAAGTATTCTATATCAATGACCAAAATAGACGCTGGCTCAGAGAAATTCTGGGCAGGTATCTGTGGTTTTAAATACTATTCTCAAGGCCATTTATTTATTATTTTTCGATTTGTTTGGCATCTTTTCATTCATCCTTTCAACTCCTGTATTCCTGACACTACAGTGTCCCTCTTCTCCTGTAGACCCCGTTCCCTCTCCTGCAATGTAAGGCTTAAAGACCCTTTCAGTCACTTACCTGATTCCAGCACCAAGGTCCCCCTGTGCTGTGCGGGGCTCCGCCTCCTCCAACGTGAACATGAGGGGGAACCTAATGTGCATGCATGAAAAAATTAGGTTTTCCCCATTGGAAAACATTGACTCAATGCTTTCCTGTGGCGGACTTGAAGATTTCCTCATGCAAAGCGTCTCTTCACAGAGTTAAACTCAGTGAAACTGCAGGGAGCTCCCCTAGTGGCTGTCAGGCCTCTGTAAACATTGCAGTTTGTCTTAAATTCCAATGGTTTACATTCCAGGGCTAAGGGGACAGGGACACTGCACCCAGACCACTTCAATGAG